CAGACCCCGCTCACGCCGGGTCACAAAGACTCCAGGGTCACCGCGCGCCCCGCCCCCCGCGGGAAGCCGAGGCTCCGCCCCCGTCCCCCTCGGCTCTCTGGGCCTGCGGCGCCCCGACTGGAGCCCCACCTGGGGCGGAGGGCGCACACGGTGGGCGCGCACTGGTGGGGGGGCGCAGGAGGCAGCCCCCACCCCACCGAGGACGGGGAGCCGCGCGGTTCCAAGGCCGGCGGGCCAGGGTGGGCACGCCAAGGGCGCGGTGTCTCTGGGCAGCCGGTGCTCGCCGCCAGGGCCTTCCCCAACCGCAGGGGCGCTTCATTGGGCTTAAAACAGTTGTCTTGCGTTGGCCTCCCCAAGGTGACTGTCCAGTGAGGCGCTGTCCCTTGGGGATCGGCTGCGGCGCCCGGCGCCCCTGCCTGCCAGGAAGCCTCCAGCCCCACCACTGGCCGCCCAGCTTCCCAGACCAGGGCAGGAACTGCGCGGAGGCCAGAGGGCAGTGCTCGGGTCAGTGTTTATTGCTCAGGCAGGTTAGACACGGCGAGGGGGCTCGCAGCTGCCCGCCCAGAGGGGCCAGGCCTTTCTGGCTCCCCAGCGCTGCCCCACAGCTAAGGCTTTCTGGACCCCCAGAGCCACCACCCGAGGGCACAGCAGGAAGGCCCCCCAGCGGCATGGGGGGGCCGAGGAAGGGTGAGGGTGTGCCCTTGCTTGGGTGTGGCTCCTGACGTGGCTTTGGCTGTGGGGTGCTGCGGGGAGGGCCCGCGGGCCTCCGACAGGGCAGCCAGGCTGCAGACGGGCCTCGGGGCGGGGGGCAGTGACCGGGCTGTGGGGGCAGAAGAGTGAGGGAGCAACGCTTGCTACGTTAGAAACCAAACTACAGAAGAAACGGCGTCGCCGGGCTGGGGGAGGCGGCCCTGGCCGCGGTCACTGCGCCATCTGCACCACGACGGCCCTCCAGGCTTTCTCCTTGTCAAACTCCTTCAGGGGGCTCCTGGCCTGAGACAGAGCGGGGGCGCGAGCCGAGTGCGGCCTTGGCGCTGCAGGGACCCCAACGGCGGCCCGGGGCGTGTGCTGAGCAGACAGCAGGGGCTCCCCAGGCCTCGCCCGCCTGGTGCCACCGAGGGCCGGGCGCCTGGGTGGCGTGAAGGCGCCCACGGGCCCGACGAGGCGGGA